TGCCATGAAGTCAGTTTATGGTCCTTCTAAATCAGGATGCTCCTCCCTGCTGTCATCTGATGGGTTGAGCCTGATCAAAGACCAGGAAGGACTGAAATACCACTGGGTTGAACACTTTTCCAACCTTCTCAATAGGCCATCCACAGTTGATCATTATGTCTTACAGCAGATTCCTCGGCTGCCTGTCTTGGATGCCCTAGACCTGCCTCCATCTACTGATGAGATCTCGAAAGTGATCTCACAGATGAACTCAAATAAAGCAACAGCACAGGATGGCATTCCTGCTGAGATCTACAAAGCACTAGACCCAAACGCCTTTCAGGTATTCCAAGACATTTTCAAAGACATTTGGTCCACAAAGGAGATGACTGATGACTTCCACAATGCCCTCATTGTGGTTCTCTACAAAAATATGGGAAGCAAATCAGACTGTGGAAACTACAGAGGTATCTCACTGCTGTTCAATGCAAGCAAGATCTTTACCTGCATTCTCTGAACAGACTTGTCACTGTCTTGGACAGCATGAAGCACTGTGTGGCTTTCAGCCAAAACAGAGTATAGCAGACATGATATTTGCCAACAGGCAAGTCCTGGAGAAGTGCATCGAGCAGACCAAGCCTCTTTACTCTGTCTTCATTGACCTCTTTACTCTGTCTTCATTGACCTGACAAAGGCATTTGACACTGTATACAGGGAGGCTCTCTGGATCATCCTGAGATGTTATGGATGCCTGAGGAAATTCATGAAGTTGATTCAGCTACTCCATGACGGAACAACAGGACAGGTTCTTTACAACAGTGATACATCAGCTACATTTACTATTTCCAATGGGATAAAACAGGGCTGTGTGCTAGCCCCAGTCCTGTTCAATCTGTTCTTTGCTTGCATGTTGTCATGTGCTGTCCAGGGTCTGAAGGAGGGAGTGTACATCAGGTACCAATTGGATGGCTTTCTCCTTGACCTTCACCACTTGAATGCGCAGACAAAGTGCCTCCATACAGTCATCCAAGAAACTCTGGAGACAGTGAACTACAGTTGATGCTGAACAAATTCTCAGATGTTGCTATGCTCTTTGGCCTGACTATCAGCCTGAACAAGCCTGAAGTACTTCACCAGCCCGTGCCGAATACCAACCCTATAGAACCAAAAATCACTGTTGACAACACACAGCTGACAAATGTGAACAGCTTCAAATACTTGGGAAGCATCATCCTGAGCGATGGGTCTTTGGACAAAGAAACTGACTCCAGGATCAGCAAGACCAGCCAGGCACTGGGGCGGCTGAGTACTAGAGCGTTCAACATCCATATCTCCACAAAACTGAAAGTCTACAGAGTTGTAGTCACCCCTTCTCTCCTATATGGATGTGAATTCTGTACTGAAGGGACATCAAACAACTGGAGAAATTTCACCTGCACACTCTGTTCTATCCTCAGCATTCATTGGCAAGACTATGTCTCCAACCTGGAGGTCTTGGATCATGTGGAGTCCACCACCATTGGGTCCCTGATTATCAGACCCAGATGCAGTGGGTGGGACACATCATCAGAATGGATGACCACCGTATGCCTCGCCAGTTGCCCTATAGTGTACTGGAGTCTGGAAAGAGACCTAGAGGTTGATCGCGCAAGCGCTACAAAGACACTGTGAAAGACACCCTATGCCACTGCGACATCCAGCCAAGGGAACTAGAAGCTGCAGCTGCTGCCAGAACCTGCTGGGAAGCCCTGTGCTATGAAACCTCCTCCACTTTTGAAGACAGAAAACCATGAGCAGCATCATAGAATAACACCCAGAGTTACTATAACAATGGACTTCCAGTGTCCCCATTGTGCTAATCTTTGTGCTTCCAGACTGGGACTGCAGAGCCATCTCTGTGTCCACAGATGAATTGCACAACAGTGTGTCTTCTTCAAACCCAAAGGACTACCATATATGGGAGGAAATGTCCACAGAAGATGCAGCCAGATACTGTAAGATACTGGCCAGTGTCCATATATCATTAGTTGTTTTTGTCTTTCAGGCACGCCATTTTTTTTTAATAGTATAAACTATCTGCCTATAAGACAATTTCCTACTAATAGGACAGTGAAGGAAACTAACCCATGTGATTTGGCTTTTCCATACTTTTAGTTGGTTATTCTTTTCAAAAGTAGTCATGGTCCTGTCCTGACCCACTTTTTGGACTGTGCCCCTGGCATACTGTTCAATGTTCAAGTGTGGCTTTTGGCCCCCCAAACTGCATACCCTGGACTAAGCTGTAATAGTAACTTTACACATTACAATAAGTCTCTTGAACTCCACTGTTTTATTCCATGCCCTCACACATACACTTTAAGTTTCCTATGAGAACCATTCCTTACTATCATGGGAAAAAAAATCCATACAAACAGACACATACCATAAAATACTGCTGCTTTCCTAAGCTACTGCCAAAAAAAGAAGGCAAAGTTTCAAAAAGAGACAGGAAAATGCAGGAAAAGAGAATAAGAGCATAAGCATATGGGGTCAAAAAGGAATCTAAGTAATCATATAGTCCAAATTAAATCTAAGCTTAACTCCATTACAATTCCAAGTAAGAACCCTACCATTAATTTACATTCCATCCTCATTCCAAATTATATAAGCTTCTATATACTTTGCAGTCAGACTCCATGCAACTCTAAAATATAGAGAGAAGCAATGTTTTCAGAGTATCTCAAAAGATTCAAATATACACAGAGAAATCAACAGTACCTTCAGAAAACTTAGAAAAGGGTAATATAAAGTGTCCTGGGTCATGTCATGATAAATAATCACTTAGCAATGGCCTTCTAGAGGTTGCTGGACAACAGATCCCAATATCCCACAGAACTGACCATGCTGATTTACAGTGCTGGGAATTACTGTTTAGTAAAAACGAACGGTGAGATTTCCTGCATCCTTGCCTTAGCAAAAGGTACACAAACTGAAATGACTCATAAATCTTTGATGTATGCTGTTGTTTTTCCTGAAACTATCCTTGTTATATTGCCGCTTTGGCATAAAACACATTCATTTGAAACTGGGGATTCTCTTATTAAGTTCCAGTTCATGTATATCACATACTAAACCATGATTTAGCATGACCTGGCAACACAATCTACATATGGAAAATGTAGGTTGTGAAGATTAAGAATACACAGAAGAATGTCCCTATTTTCACTTGCTCTAAAAAAAAATAACCAATGTCTCCTAAACCCCAGCAGCCATTAAACCCATATCAAACTAGATACATCAAGCTAAAACAGAGAAGGATATTGACAGGTTAGAGAGGGTTAAGGAAGACTATGTCCTATGAGGACAGGCTGAAGGAACTTGGGATATGAGGGCCAGTTTGATGTAACAGTTAAGGTGCTGGCCAAGAAATCAAGAGACTGTGAGTTTGAGGCCTCCCTTAGGCATGAAAGCTAGCTGGATGATTTTGGACCAGTCATTCTCTCTCAGCTTACTTTTTATATAGATATTAAAGAAGGTGGGATCATCATCATCATCATCAGTCTGGAGAAAAGGAAACTGGAGAGATAATAAAGGAAAGTTACAGGGAAAATGGCCAAGAACTATTTTCCATGTCCACAGAAATTACAACCAGAAATAACAGATATATATATATTGCAGCCAAATTTTGTTTAAAAACAAGAAAAACTTCCCGGTGACAAGCAATAAAAACACAGAAATGTAGGAAAACTAGGATACTGCTTTGCATCTAATTAGACCACTGTTTATCTAGCTCAGTATTGTCTATGCTAAAATCTGTTATCAAGGAGTTCATGAGAAACCTTCCCTGTCCTGTTTGAGAATGATGAGGAATTATCTCTGAGTCTTTTTGCAGGCTCAATTATTGAAATAAAATATATCTCCCTGCTAAATTTCTATCACTTATTAGGCATTTTTAATGTCTTGATTATGGGAATCATAATCAGAAGCAATCTGATTTTTAAAAGTTAACCGTAAGTCTGCTGTAGGCTTCCTGTTTTTATCAATTTGGACATTACTGTTTTGTGAATATGTGTTTATGTCACTGAAGCTATATTGCAATCATTTTGCAAAAAAGCAAAACTCACTTGTAACAGCGTTCCATGAACTGCATTCTGTCGTACATAAGGATCAGTGCAATCTGGAAGCCCGGCTAACAAAGAAGAAACTGTCTGTGGCACCAAATTCAGCATAACGAAGGGAACAAGGGCTCTTCCAGCCAGCTCACGTGAACGGTACACAGGAGAGTTACCACATCTAGACATGAGGAGATGGAAAGGCAGAATTTTTCAAATCTCATTCATACACAAGGTATTTCAAGAACAATATTCATAACAAAATATTCAAGAAAATATTTCTGTAATCCTTGTAAATGTATATATTTCATCCTAAAAATGATCTGTGAAATGCATAAGTGGTTCACATACATAGTACTTACCATTCTTGATAAGCCTTATCAGATATGGGGATTATAACAACAGCTTTGTATGGAACAGAGTGGAGCTTTTTGTTGATTTCAGTTTGCATACTTTTAGCATACCACATGATGGCACTACTAGAATTGAGTTTTAATTGTAATTGTATTTTAAGTGTGTTTTATTTGTGTGAATTATACTCACCTGAAACCTACACTTTTCTCTACAGAGATACACAGGTGACTGATATACAAAGTATCCTGTCCAAGGTGTTAAGTTATGAAAAATTTTTATACCACAAATACCACCTAGCAATAAATAGAAGACACCATGCCAAAGACAAGTTCTAAAGAATCATGGAAGCTGCTGTAAGTTCATCTAGGCAAATGACACCAATCAGAGGTAGGGAAAGACACAATTCCCTTGTAAATGGCATAATATAAAATAAGGATTTCCTTACATCCAAAAGAATTTTCTTTCCTGTGAAATGAGCACAGAGCAAGTATGCCTGTAGCCAGTACCTGATCTTGCGCAGCTACAAAGTCCCTGTGTCCAATTGCAGAGAACAGAAAACAACTCTGCCATCATCATTCTACCATAAAGCCTACCTTCTGCCACATAATAAATATTTATATAATAACATGGGCAATCTTCATTTTAATTTTTGGACTGTATTTCATTTAGGGGGGCTCATTTTATTGTACATATTTTCAAATCAACAGATTTATCGGTTCAGTGCTATATAGCTTCTAAAAATGTGATCCCTACTGGTATGAGATCCATGCTCTTGATATTAGCAGAAAATAGAAATTCTGCTTGCACCACAAACACATTAGAAAATAGTCACTAAAATATGGGGTACGTGTTACAATGCTAACACAATGTTGCACTTGCTTTAATTTAGGCGTTCTTCCAACTCATTTATTGGCTTATACATAGAGGTACATACCATGAGAAAGGAAAATGAGCAGCTTAGCAGCAGGATTAATTAAAATAAATAGCATTTTACCACAACAGTGTAAAACAATTTATCTTAAATGCTTCCATATTTAAGCTATATTATGCCTATTTATACTCAACAGGTTCTTGTAGATGTTTCTTTTCAAATACAATTAACTCTGACATGATTGCCAATGTTTAGTTTCTAATTAGCAGTAACTGTACACTCAAGAATGCCATTTTTTCTCTTCACAACCTTTTTACAAATGATGATTTCCCAAAGGAATCTGGCTTCAGTTCAGGAGAAAGAATGGAAAATGGGAACAGTGCCAGTGTTTGTGACTGCCAGATATTTTGTCAAGAGGTTCTTTCCAAAAGCATGATTCAGAGAGCTTTTTTTCATAACCAGCTCTAGAGCTGCATTCCACTATATTTAATTGCATTACTTTCATTTCACTAACATAATCAAATACACACTATAGGTCAAGTAACTTGATTTAGTGTGTTTTACTGAAGATGTTTTTAAGCAGAAGCAGAAGCATTTAGAAATTTAAAATTATTTATTACATAATGGCAAATTACATACAGGTTTGAATAAAACAATATGCATTAAGGCAAAACTAAAATAATTTCAAATTAAGTACTTGATACTGCAAACACAGAGCTATATAAATCAGGACTTTATTCCATGTTATGAAATACTCTCACAAATATCAAATTAAACAATATATGGCACTGACTGAATATTTTTTCATTATTTTTTCCATGCCACTTTTTTCTCATTCTAAGTTCTACTCCCAACTTCATTTTACTGAGTTTATTGATTATAAATTCTTTTTCTCCCAGAACTACAAATAACCAGGCCAAGAAAGCAGAAAGCTTCTTTTTCCATATATTTATTTTGCTTTCCCCCCAAGAGAAGAAGCTATCCCAGACATATAAGCAGGCTTCTGTACACCTACAAACAAATCTGTACCTTACTGGAAATTGTTTTAGACACAAGCAAGTTCTTGTTTGAATAGCTGCTTCCTAATGCACTGATCTGAGAGTTTAAAACAAAAACAAAAAACCAAACCCATGAAACCTGTGAGGTTTTAAGCAGAGAAGTGGAGAAATGGAGAAGAGGTTGTTAAATATTCTCCTACTACAAATTATTTCTCTTCCCCATAGGTTCAAGATTTACAACTACAGTTAGGACTGTGCAAGAAGCACCAGACTGTTGTTTGTTTATTTGTTTCGCTGGATCCTTAACTCTGAAAAGTCCAACCCACTTTGTGTCAGGCAGGGGAAGATGTAGGACGTAGGGCTTTGCAATGTTTTGGATTCATTTCCCAAAATGTGGTTCCAGGCATGGAGGGTTGTGAACACAGAGCCCCCATGCAACTCTTTAAAACAGCATTATCTTTTCCCAAGAGTTAAATTACAAGCAATCTGAATGTGGGCTTTTGAGCTACATACATTTAAAATTTGGCTGGTTTTTTTTAAAGTATCCATAACTTTTTTTTGGTTTGCTTTCACCTGATCTGGATGAAATTTAGAGGAAAGCTGGATTATTACTAAAAGATAAGTATGCCAGATTTCAAAGAAACAAGTGCAAATAGGTGATGCAACAGTCAGCACTGAGAATATGAAATGAAAGTAGGAGCCCAAACAAATTACAGAAACCAAGAACAGCATAAGCAACAAGCAAACTCAATTGGGTACAGTACTAATCAGGAGACAACCTGTTGCAAAATTACCTGGGCTGTTTTGATCTGTATTTGATTTTCTGATTAAAAAAGAATCATCCATCTTAAAACAAAACTGTTACACCTCTACTGGAATATCTGTTTCAATAACTTACAGGGAAAGGAAGGGAGGGAAGAAGGATTTAGCTCTCTAGATACAAGCCTCCACTGAAGTGGACTGGAGAAATACATTTCATTATCTTTCAGCAAAGAATTCCACCTTTTGATTGCTCCTGTACGCCCCTCAACTATTCCTTGTCAGAAATTACCAGGCATAAATTTATTGAGCAGAAGTGGAAAGAAAAAGGCGTCAGTGCATAATAGTCCAGCAGATGTAAACAAGTCATAAAACTTCAGTTTGGGTGCCTATTTTTGCTTCCTTGTTATTAAAGTCACAAAGAAGCCATTCAACAACGCTGTATCTGATTCTAGAGTTCCTGTCTGTAAAACATACTATTTCCTTCTGGCAGTTCACAGTAAACATAGGATATTGTTTGAATTGTCAAATAAAGTCTCCCAAGAATAAAAAGTGCTGGTAGCAAGCATGGTTCCTTCATGTTAAAAAATACCAGCAATAAATCTAGACTTAACAAGATTGGATTACAATGAAATCTCTCTATGATCTTTCTTCTCACTTGAGAGTGACTTGAAAGGTTTTTTTCTCCTTTAAAATTAATCTGAAGGGACTTGCTTTTTATAGTGAATAAACAAAGCAAAAAAGACAGGCTTTATCATGTAACACTTGGAAATTCTTGAGGTAAAAGCACAAATGTTATAGTGAAGTAAATGCTGTTTGTGTTCTCTGCATTTAATCTTTGCATTGTCAGAATAAACTTTAAAGAATGTCATGTCTAAACATGACAAAAATGAACATATTACCCACATAAGACTTTCCTGAAATCCTGGCAACCCTGAAGAATCTTTTTGCTGACTGAAAAAGAAGCGTGTTGCTTCACCTAAGATGTCTAATTTAAAGACATACATAGTCCCAACAATATTCTCTACAGCTGAAATGCACACTAGCACATTTTCTCTACCCATCTCTCTGTAATTTATAATTTTCAATCTAATCCTCTTTATTCAGAATATACTATCAGCCTGATAAAAACCTGGTAAACATTATGTAATAATTAACATTAATTACTCCTTTCAATGGCTGATAGTATGATGAGTATACAGTCTCTACTTTCAGAAGCAGTAGCCTCTCCGTACCTGCTGATGGACAACACAAATGGGAAAATGCTATTTTGCTTACCTATCTAATTTGTAAAGCTGCCTGACTGTACAAGTCTTACTCATGGTTTTCCAACTGGCTGGAGAATCCTGGACTAAATGAGGAAATCCTTTGATCCAAACCACTCTTATATTCTTATTTAGATGGTATAAATTTGAAATACTGGAATCTGTAATAGGGCACAGGGTCTACTTTTGAGGAAAAAAGAGAGCTCATTGGATGATGCGAGAAGGCTTAGAACCTGGAAAAGTGCTGGGACTCACCAACACTTCAAAGACTCATTTAGTAAAGCCAGAGCTAATACAATCTCTTAGACCAGGGATTGGCAAACTTTTCTGTAAAGGGCCAGATCCAGCCCTTCCTCCGCCTCTGCAGGCATGACTGGCAGGTCTGCAGGCCAAGGAGCATGGAGCCAATCCACAAGAAAGGATGCCACTGATAGGCTGCCATTGTTGCCGCCCCGAACACTCCACCCCACCCCTTGGCCCCACTCCTCACCCTGGGAGCTCAGCTGAGGCTTGGCCCTGATGATCTGCCACCCACCCACTAGTCTATTCTTAGCTTGAGGACCATACAAAAAAGTGTGCTGGCTGCGGAATTCTGGGAGTTGGTCCGCCCATCTTAAAGTTGTTGAGGTTGGGAAACACTGAACTAGATGTTTAATGCATCTCACAGAGGTCATTTCTCCATTCCAATATGAGTTCAATTAGTTTAGTTTTGCAATTTGTTAAAGCCACATGGAATTCATTGCAAATTATTCTTTTCTAACTATTTCACCAGTATTCTTCATAATAAAGGATAATTCTGCCAACTTGATACCATTTCAAAACTAATATAAAACAAACAAACAAAAGCAATTATAGCCATTTGTTGTTATAGCCATTTTATTGATGTCAACAATAGAGATATAAAAAAGTACATAAGAACCTTACTCACTAAAAGGAAAAACATCGCTTAGGGTGATCAATGCTTTCCACTGATGAAAACCACAGATATAGGGATCCAAAGCAAGGGCAAGAGGAAAGTTGATTCAATAGGACAGCCAACTTTCAGAATCAGTTCAGCCCTCCGCTACTAAACTTGTTACTTGAACTGAAAACACATTCCATTCATCACTTTTCCCAACAGAAGTGAAGGTTTAATAGACAGTGGAGTGGACCAGATGAGATTTACTTTTCCTCAATGGAAGATCACATAGTCCACATTTTGTTTCCTATTAGCTCATAAGCCTAACAAGAATTCCTTAATTCTAAGCAATAAACAACACAGACAATATGTTATTTATTGTTGATCAGGAGCCTTGTAGTTGCTCTTACTGGCTGAGAATCTTAAACACTGTGTCAAAGACCATGGAGCTTGCAATCAGATCCATCTTCTAAGATTAAATCTTAAGAAATCTGACTTGGCACTCTCCACTGTCCCCTTCTCCAACATAAGGAGGTTTATCTTGGAGGTGAATAAAAATTGGACTATGCAAATATTCAAGACACATATATGAACAAACCATTGAACATTCAAGCTGAACTAACCAACCCTATTAGTTTTCATGACAGACAGAATGGGATCACTCACTTCTAACCTGACTCTCCTTAATGAACTAAAGCAAAATGCAATGGATTGCAAAGTCACAGAATTACTATTTGCATATTTAATATACATATGGTTACACCTGACATCAGAATCATATTATCTATTCTACCTAGCACAATCTTCATTTACTTTCTATTTCTAAACAAAATAAAACAGAAGTCAAGGGCAATGCTATTTGCACATCTCTCAAGGTGAGGTATGACTTGCTTCAGCAAACAAATAGCTAATGAAATTACAACACCCAATCCACACATCACAGTCCATATTTATATTTCTATCAATATTGACAAAGTTGAAAAGATGAAAACCCAGTGCTTCAAGCATAACATCATCCAATTTCAAGCCCTTCATTAAATATTGCCTCTGCCACCCCTAAAAACTATTTAGATAAGAGTAAACATCTCAGCTTGCTTTAAAAGCAAAAAGTCATGGTTTTAAATTGACAAATTACAAAGCATTTATTGACATCATTTAATTATTTCCTTTACATATTTTAGAACCTCACAAGGCTGAAAATTAGCAGCTTAATCAAATATTGCATATTAGAATTATGATTCTAGCAAAAAAAAAATTCATTCTATCTTAATACAATTCATGAATGAGCCAATCTATGGCATAAGCCATAGATTATGACTTAGTGGTGCATCTCATCTACCTCCTGGAAGGAGAAAGTGTATTTTAGCCCCTTTATCTGGTGCTGCTGCCCTGCCATTATGCTAGAAAAAAAGGATGAGTCAGGTATTCTCTTTGACGGTTATACAGACTACCCCTAAACATTTGGGACTGTTGGGATTCTCATATACTGAATGAGCAATATGATACCAAGATCATGGGAAGTGATAGTACCACTCTATGTTGTGCTGGAGTACTGTGTCTAATTCTAGTCATCATAATTAAAAGGACACTGAGGAACTGGAAAGACTGCAAAGAAGAACAACAAAGATGGTAAGGGGCTTGGAGACTAAATCCTACAAAGAACAGTTAAAGTAATTTGATATGTTTAGCTTAAGGAAGAGGAAGGCTAAGCAGAGACATGATAGCAGTCTTCCAATGCATGATGGAATGTATTACAGGACAGAAGGGATGGAAAAAATTCTCCATAGCACCTGATGGGAAGGTGAAAACCAGTGAGTGGAAGTCAACAGGGAGCAATCCAATCCTGAAATAAGGAGAAATTTCCTGGCTATGAGAGCTATTAAGCAGTGGAATAACCTGCCTCCTGAAATCATGAGTGCTCCATCACTGGAGGTTTTCAAGAAAAGATTAGACAGCCATTTGTCTGGAATGGTCTGAGGATTCCTGCCCTGGGCAGGATGTTGGTCTAGAAGATTTCCAAGGTCCCTTCCAATTCTATGATTCTATGATTTGTAATATTCAGTGGGGGAACAGTATTTTTTAAATACTGTTTATTTCCAATTGTTTCTGCCATTCTATATTTCTAATTGCCATTCTTCATTTGCCATTCTTTCTCTTTTAAGCAACTGCTTAATCTTTTGGGTCTTCCTTGTTATTATGATGCATTTTTAACCTTCTTTATACACTGCCCTGAGCCACTCTGTGATTGGGTGGTCTCAGAAAATGAATGAATGAATGAATGAATGAATGAATGAATGAATGAAATTACAGCTTCACAGAATTCAAAGGGGCCATTTCAACACCCTGCTCAGTGCAAGAATCCAAACTAAAGTAACTACAATAGATGGCTATGTAACCACTTGAACACATCCAACAAACAGCCAACATCACTCTGGGTCATTCTTACTGTTGGGAATAATATGCAATTAATAAGTATCCTTTAACTCTACCTTCTATTGATTAAAATTAGCAATAACTGATAAATCAATTAAAATGTTTGCTTGTTTTTAAAACCAATTAAAGTTGACAAGCCTATTTAAGAACTACAGCCCATCATGTAGTGGAACCAAGACAAATATGTTTTGTTGAAAACATATTTACCTAAAACAAACAATGAATCACTCAGAATAAATGCATGGTAAATCAGAATTTGTCAGCATTCAAAAGAGGAGATAAAGTTCCAGAATAATCCGCGTGTAGTGGAAACAGAACAACAAAACTGCTAACAAAGGCAAGTAAGGGCACATGGTTTTTCATGTGCTAGAGATAGAAAAGTAGAAGAGCCAATCATGTGGTATTTACACGACTGTAAACATGTGTTTACATGTGGAATCTACTAGATGAAAATCCAATTTTAATATCACAGTGAATAAGAATTGTCTCATTTAATATGGAGAACCAAGTGATCTTACCATGCAGTTTACAGAGATTTGTGACTAAACTAAGATTTATGCTTAATTCATTTAAAGCACAGTCAGGCAAACTTTTAACTCAATTGTTACTTAAATGAAAAATTCCACACATTGAACTGGAAGTATTTCAATATTTCAGTATTTCAAAATCTAATTAGAAATGTTATATCCAGCATCATAACTATATAAAAATACAGATGGAAAACGGCCCCCTCAGGGCTTCCTAATGAACTAAGCTAGGTCTTGGCCATTTCTCTTCTTGAAAGGCAGTGGGAAGACCACACAACTGGATCTTCACACCCATCATTGCAGTCCCTAGAGTAATCAAAAATGCAGAAAAATAACTGCAGTGCTTTAACTATTTAACTACTGTAAAATCACCTTTCATTTAGCCTCTCAAGAGAATTAATCTTCTCTCTTGAGAATATGCACTAGATTACACTTACACTTACTAAAAAACAAATGCTGTAAATGAATGAATGAAAACAGTATTTTAAACTAATAATACTTCATATAATAAAAGTAACTAGGAACTTTCTCAAGGAAAACTAAGCATTAAAAAATGAAAAATGCAACTTACCTCAAAATAAGAGGAACAAAGGAAGCCATGCTAAGGGCAGAATATGTACCATCCATTGGTGATGGATACAGCTTACTTAAAACCAAAAGTAACAGAAATAAGCTTGGATGAAGCTTCAACTCTTTGGTTTGACTATATGAAAAATATACAGAGTTTGTCAGAATTGTAATCTTCTACCCTCAACTAAATGTTAATATAGGTAGAGGAAGGGCTAGATGTTAAGAATGGAGTTTCATGGTGTGGACCAAATTTCTTTACTTTTACATGCTTTAAAATATACACTTGCACACAACTCCAATACGTTACAATAAGAAAACATTGGAAAAAAAATATTTTCCCCCATGGGAAAGCAAAATCTCAAAATCACAGGTAAAAAACCTGAAATTATTGTTGTTGTTATATAATAAGATCAATGTGAACTTTGTCTTAAAATTTTAAAATAAAAAACTGAATTTAAAATTAATGTAATATTAATCTGAAATAATTCTTAATGCAGAATGCCATATTTTTATGTTCAAAGAGTACATGAGCACGAAGAGTACAATTAACTACTTTAAAAAACTGTTCAACAGTAGAATTGGGAGCAATTTTAAAAATGATATGGAAAAGGCACTTCAAAACTACTCATTAAAGCAGTCTGTCTTTTTCGGGCTTCCAGACAAAAATATCATTAACTGTAATGAACTGATTGCTTAAAAGAGCCACGCCTTTATTCAGGCCAACATGAACGCCTGAAAAAAAAAGTTAGTCTCCTTTATGAACAGCAAAGAGGTGCCACAGTTATGCCAAGTCTGAAGTACTTCCAAATAATTTTTGAAGCATGTCCAGCAACTGTTATCCTACCAACCCATTTTCCTCCTCTAACATTGTTTGTTGTGGTACATATTTTATTTATTATTAAATTTATATGCCGCCCATCTCCCCCATAACAATGTATTTTCTTACCTGTCTGCTGTACTGGTTACTTGTTCCAACTGAGCAAGCAAAAATGGATAAAGATTTGGAAATCGAGTAAAAAACTCCCTCCCTGTCATTCTGTAGAAGAGTATAAGAAAATCAGTAGTATATGGTAGTGCACTATTTTCAAGACTTTGTCTTCAAGATTTACACATAATTGGGTACAATCTAAATAATTCAATAGTGCATGTTATTCAAAACATGCGAAAGACACTATAAAATATTACAGGAAATAATTAAAAAGTAACAATGAAGAATTTCTTATATTAGGCATTTATTTCATTTAAAAAACTCATTTAACACAATTGTGGAATGCAACTCATTGTTTCAATCCATTTCACCACATCTGCACTTTAAAAGGAAGCCTGCTGTTGATGTGTTATTGCAATCTAGAGTCGGAGAATCTGTGGCCCTCCACATAATGCACTTTAATCAGAGTTTATGGTTTTAATACTTCAGCATTTGGAGGAACTCAAGCTCCCCACCATTAAGTTTACTAAAGCAGCAACTGAAGTGGTAGGACAAAGCAGTAGAATTGTTATCAGACTGAAAAAAGATAGCAAATGGAATATGGCAGGACTGAATACTTCACCCTTGCAAAAGCTCCCTACACACAGAAACTCAAGTTCAGGTAGAGGAGAAACCTTTCCTTCAATATGATAATTTTATATATGCAAAGCACATTTTTTTCTATTGCATTTATTCTCTGCAAGATAATACTTTAGAACAACTACACCATCTAAAAAGCAGATTTAAAATTCAGAACATCTGCCAATGCTTAATAAATTTAAATTGTTTCATAAAAAAGAGAAACATTGTAGCATACTGACTGAGGAATTCTAGGAATTGAAGTCCATGCATCTTAAAGTTGCCACGGTTCAGAAACTCTGGGCTACAGTGTACATGGTGTTACTGGACAAATGGAATGGCTGTGCAATTCATTTAATATGTGTGTGAATGCTCCATCTGTGCCTGAGAACTGGATGAATACTGTACTGAAGAATGAATGAAAACTAGAGGGAGATTAATTTGCTAAGTGTGCCTGGGGAGATACTTAGCATAATTTTGATTGAAAGGGCATGAGCGATAACAATGAGCAAATTTGGGAAGCACGGTGCAACTTTGTGCCCAGCAAGAGGTGTACAGATCAAATTGTGGCTTTTCAGCAGGTCACTGAATAATATATAATCATGAAAAGGAAAGTTAATTGTTTGTTGATTTAAAGAAAGTGTGTGATATAATGAATAGGTATGAATTACACATGCTTTGAAATATGGAGGTGAAAGTCGATTGCTGAATGGAATAAGAGTATAATGGAAGTAAGCATGCAAGAGAATAAATGGAACACTTAGACGCTGCTTAAACATTGAAAAGGCAGTAAGATAAGGATTTGGGACTCCCTTTGTGTGCTTAATGTATTTATGGATAAGTGTATAAGCAATGCTTAGGGTTGCATTAGAGGTGTGTTGTTTAATTTGGAATATGAATGTATGTTTGTATGCAAGTGATTCTGTGTTGGCTGTGAACTAAACAGTTTGCAGCAAATGACAGATTATATGATACAATAAACAGTATGGACCTGAAAATGAATATATCCAAAGATGAAGATAGTTGTGTCTGACAGGGAAAACAGAGAGAATCATGGCAAAAAATTAGAGCAAGGAGTTAAATTTGTGTACCTTGAAAGGATATTTACAAAAGAGGGAAAAATGGAGAGAGACGTTTGAAAATGTGTAAACAGCTGAAAGGCAGTATAGGTAGTCCTCACTTAATGACCCTAATTCGGACCGGCAACTCTGTCACTAAATGAAGCGGTCATTAAACAAAATATCACATGACTACCCCACTTAGCAATGGTAGTCTGGCAGTCCTTGTTGCCATCGTTAAGTGAATCCCACACGGCCATTAGGCGAGGACCCACTGCGATCCAAGTCATTCCTGGCTTGGTCCCTCCCAGCCCCAAGCCTCAGTTGTTCCAAGGCAAGGGACTGTCTCCCTTTCAACTCCCCACTCCTGCCTCTCCCCGACATCTCTGCCCTTTTGGCCACTCTACACAGCATGGCCGAGATGAAGAGGCCATTGTATTCCACTGCTGCCTCCCACCGCCATCCCCAGCAGATGTGTTCTTCCTTCCCTCTGCTGGGCTCACCATCGTGGCCAAGGAGTGCTGCTTCCAGAGCAGCATGACAAGCAATCCCATTGTCACAGTGTGGCAAGCAGCCTCAGAGCCGCAGTGTGGCAAGCAGTCCCAGAGCTGCAGTGCGGCAAGCAGCCCCAGAGCCATGGCATGGCAAGCAGCCCTGGAGCCATGTGCAGCAAGTTCCAGAGAAGCAACTGCTTAGAAGTCCACCATCTCCAACACCCCATCGACAGCTTACCAAATGAGAAGCACGCCATACTGCTTGCCTAGGCTCATCTTGCCCATGACTCCACCACCACAGGAGCAGTCTTCCAGAGCCATGTTTCCTTTAGTGGCCCTTGGGCCCCAGCCTGACATAAGGGGCATGCAATTAGGGTGGGGGGAACAGAAAAAAAATATGCCCCAGCATGGCAAGAAGCCCACTGCCATGGTGAGGGATCGTCTCAGCCAGCAGTGGCACACAACAAAGTGCAGGGCAAACAGTCACTGTACAAATGAACATTAAGTGAGGATAGTACAGGTACAGGTAGTCCTCGGGTAACGATGGTAATTGGGACTGGAATTTCCATTGCTAAGCAATGCAGTCATAAAACACGATATCACGTGATCATGCTGCTTAGCGACAGTAATCCCAGCAGTCCCTGTTGCTGTCATTAAGCAAGGACTGTGCATCGTTAAATGAGAATTTCATGCGACCGTGACTTGCAACTTCCTGCTGGGTTCCAACAAGCAAAGTCAATGGGGAACCCGGAGGAAGTCACAAGTTATGGTCATGAGAAGCCTTTCCTTCTTAAGTATCTTGCAAGCAAACCAGTGGGTGAAAGCTACAGGTCGACGAGTGTTATGGAATGCGGGCAAGTGTGAGTGTGGGTAGATGGGTGCTATGGGTGGGCACAGGTGGGTTCTACAGGCGGCCAGGCATGTAGTTGCTATGGGCGGGCATGAGTGCAGGTGGGCCTGTGGGTGGGTGCTACAGGCAGGCACAAATGTGGGCAGGTAGGTGGTAGATGCTACGGGCAGGTGTGAATCAGACTGCAAAACACAACTGTTTAACACGTTAGTCATAATGATGTAACATTAGTGTTTGCTGAACACTAATTATACCACCCCTCAGTATATTTCATCTCAGAAAAACACATCAAGTTTATGTCTTCATTAGCTCTCAATATTTTAAAATAAAAATTACAAATATAATTACGGGTGTCTTTCTACAAAGGGAAAAATGAATGGGGATATAGTATTTTGTATTGCATTCATGGAAAGTTAGTTAAGGAAGGCATGAACAAATGCTGTATAGGACATTTATATAGCTCTTTTCAAATTGTTTTGTATCCAGCAATTTCATGGCTGATTAGCAATTTTAAAAAGAGACTCCCATATGTATTGCTCCTGATCATTACATTTAACTAACTCTCAGCTGACAATATCTGGTTTAAATTCAAGCAGGCTTCAGGAACAGAAAAAGTCGAAAATCCTTCTCAGGCAACAGTGCCAAACAGCAGCAATGGCTACAATTAGGAAAGCATTCAAACATATGGAAAGCTGAATTGGCATAAGTAGCAAAGGGCTGGAATAAAAGAGAAAAAGACCGAACATGTTTAATTTATTGAACAAATTTCTACCTAAACTAGGGTTCAACTTTATAACCATAGCTCAATGATAGGGCTTTCCATATGAAAGACCCCATTTCAGACTTTGAGATCTTTAATTAAAAGAAACTGACAGAAAAAGTGGGCTGGATAGCAGCATCTTATAACTTGTTTTTCCATTACAAGTAGTCTTCAAATTATGACCACAATAGGGACCGGAAAATTCGTTAAGCTGTGCAGTTGTTAAGCGGGGAGTCATGTGACCACATCGGATTTTACATTTTTGCGGCATCATTAAGTGAATCACAGTTGTTAAGGGAATCACATGGTTCCCCACTGATTCTGCTTGTCAGAAGCTGGCTGGGAAGATCACAAATGGCAATCATGTGACCCCAGGATGCTGCAACTGTCATAAATACACACCAATTGTCAAGCACCCAAATTTTGATCACGTGACCGTGAGGATGTTGTGACAGTCGTAAGTGTGAGGACCGGTTGTAAGTCACTTTTAATGCCATCATAACTTCAAACAATTGCTAAACAAATGGTCATAAGTCAAGGACTACCTGTATATAGTTCATATAAAAGACTGTATAAAATATATCATGCTTATTTCTCTCTCACACTGGTGGATACAGAAGGATTTTCTAATGACGCTTTTTCTTAAATACCTTAAAAAATTCAAGGAAGTACATTAAAGAAGATAAACTAATGTATTTATTCCTCAACTTAGCTTCTACCATGACAGTACAACTTCTTCAGTTTTGTCCTCTAAAGCCAGCTTACTTTTACAATTTGCTCAACAGCTGGTTTAAAGACCCAATGTTGCTAGGCCCTGTAAGATATTTCAGAACTCAAATATCTAGCAATAACTTTTCCATATTGCATTTGTAGATTGAATATAGAAAGGACCTTCTAGCAACATGCAATTTATCTTTTCCCTTCCAGTGAGTGACCACAGACAGCTGCCAGGCATCCCAGATTAGAAGGACAGTGTCTGATTCACTGTAGGATTCTTCTATCAATTGAATTCCAGGAACATCTCTTTATCAAAAAAGGAAGAGTGAAAACACAGAAGAAGAACTGATAGATGTTCACCAAATAAACAGAACCAAAAAAGGAGTTTCATATAATGAAAAAAAAATTCAGATCAAAGCAGTGTTAGAGAACGTTTTCTGTTTACACAATATACTTGAAATGACTATAGGATTTCTGTGTTCATTGTAAGTTTGCATAGAAGCCAATAGTATAAAAACAGCTGTAGAAAAATATACAATATTTGAGCATGACTATTAATCTTTTGAACAATAGTAGTGATGGATTTATTATATTTGTTAGAAGACTTAGCA